ATCAAACATTAATTATGAAGGCTAGTTTGATGCATTTTTCAGAAGTATAACGAAAAGATGAATTGATTTGGTAACAGGGTATGAACAATCTCAATTGAACCTTTGCAAATCATGAATTTTGTGATAGAGCAGATATTATTAAAATGTTTGATAAAAACTCATTGTCCTCCTTTAACTTTAAGAAAAGGAATCATTGCTCTCTTTAATCTCAAATGAAATGTCCTCCTTTTCAAGTTTTTAATATGGTGATCCTAAACATATATGAGGGGCCTCCCTTAGCTCAGTCGGTAAAGGCGCAGCTACAAAGCAAGACCATGCTGGAGGTGGCTGGGTTCAATTCTCGGCCCGGTCTAGGAATTTTTCGGGTTGGAAAATTTCTCGTCTTCCCTGGCCATAGAAGTATCATTGGACTTGCCACACAATTATACCAATGCAAAAATGGTACAGGCGTCGAAAGCTCTCAATTAATAACAGTGGAAGTGCATCTATAGAACACTAAGTTGAGAGCACACAATAAGCTAATATGCGATATGAAATAAGCTTGAAATGCGAAGAAGAAGAAGAAGAAGAATAAGAAGAAGAAGAAGAAGAAGAAGAAGAAGAAACATATATGAATTTCATAAGCGTGACTTATGAATGATTTTCGGGTAACATGAGGTAGCTCTTATACGCCTTTAACCATTTCATTTTTCCAAGCGTTGAAAGACGAGAGGTCAACACACGGCACAGTGGTTCCTGGCTGGCCAAAACCTCAAAAAATAAAGTGATATTTTTTATTTCAATATATTTTTATCATTTTTACATGTTAAGAGTATCTTAAATTGAATGATTTGTGCAGTTCTGTTGATTAAATATTTTTTTATGGCTGTATTAGTGTAGAGATATCAATTTTTTTTGTAAAAATCGTAATGTTTCTTGTTTCTGTTTTGCTCAAATAAAGCAAAACATAATGCGTTTATAAACTTGGTTGCTTGGGGAGAAATGTTTTTCGGCTTATTTCACATCAAATGGATGGTAAAAAAGAGTGTTTTAGTATTTAAGTGACAGTTTCTGATATAAAAATTAGCAAAAATTAATTTTTTTCGCATTTAGACTAAGCAAAACATATGACGGACACATCCGCCCACTATCATTCAATAACCAAAAGATAGCTAGAAAAGTTAGCTTTCAGATAAGCTTTAATGTGTTTTGCGATTTTTTGCGAAAGATGTTGAAATTAGGAAAAACAAGTAAAGTGTTCTTTGGAAAATATCCGTTTCTTAGTTTTATAATCTGCGGTGTATACTGTAGCAAGCTTCACAATGCCTTTTTCAAAGCACACCAACACGCACACAGATACACACACGCACCATGTATCTTTTTCTTTTGGTTCATGAGTTGTGATTTTTTTTAAACAAGCAGGTTAGGGTGGCCCCTAGACAATTGGCATTCTTTAAATATCTTTTTATACGTTCATTTCTCGTGAAATTTTTATGCCATATACTTAAAAAACTTTTTATGACGCATATTTTTGCTAATTTGTTATCTCTTTTATTTGAAAAGTTATGACTAGTTTTGTTGAAAAATATTACTTATTTTAAAATTTAATTAAATGCTTTAAACACAAAAAGCTCTTGCAGTTTTTTTTTACCAAAAATGAAGTTAATGAAGTTAAATGTTTGAAAATCGGTTTGCTCCATTTTGAAATATGACAATTGAAAAGAGTCATTTTTTTCGAAGAAAATAGCCTTTAACTTTCTAATCAAAAAAGACAGTAACCTAGTTGCTTGAGAAAAAATATGCGTCATCAAAAGTTCTAAGTGAAATCAGAATAATGTGTTTGCAAGAAATTAACGCATAAAAAGATATTCAAAGAAAATCGATTTTAGTGGCCACCCTAACCTGCTTGTTTAAAAAATCATAACTCATGAACCATAAGAGATAAAAACGTTGTGCCTTGTACAAAGTTGCTTTGAATTTAATGTTCTACAACTGTTTAGAACACTGCCTTGGTCTATTTCAAATAATAAATAGTTTATATTTTTAATTCACCAATTTTATGGACCACCCTAATTTTACGAACATAAAAAGATTGAACAAAAGATATGAAGCAACTTTCTCTGAGAAACCATATACCTAAAACTGACAGTTTGTGCGCAAACATTTTTGTCGTCCTAGGTAAATACGGCTGGGACCATTGTGCATTGGTTTTGGTTCCACTATACTCCTTTTTGTGACGTCTTGATTGTCAAGTTTTCTTCGTACAGCTAAAACACATCTATTTCAACTGTTTTTTTTTGCCTATTAGCAACTATTTTGAGGTTTTGGCCAATTTTTGTTCTAAGAAGAACCACTGTGCACGGGCCCCCTAACCCCAACGTCAATTTTCCGGTTCCAGTCTGCTCAGATTTATATTTTTTTTTGTCAACATTATTTTTCACAAGGCAATTCAATAAAATTCTCACTCATTTCTTATGGCAATAATTCATAAGTGTTTCTTATGGAATTATTACGTTCTTTTGCCTGCGAATAGGGGCAGAAAAGTGAACATCGTAGGAAGAATAAATTGTTCTCCGTAATTTGTGTGCTAATATAAAGCTTCTAATTTGAAAATTTACTTAATTTTAGGAAAGTTATCGATGAAAAATAAATTAATCTGAATGTACTACTAGATCAACAATTCTGATATTAGGATTTGTTTTATGTGTGCACGTACACACTTTTTTGCTATACGCCATTAAACATGACGTTTATTTGAGGCACACATATGTGGCATAGTAAAACACATGATGTTCATGTGTTGTTTTTTTTTTTAATTTTTTGAGGATTTTTTTTTATGAAAGTTAAGATCAAAAAATATGAACTTCAGGACACAAACTAGATCCAGCAGATGAGACTGACATCATTCCTTCGGAAATTTTAAAATATTAAACAGTCTTCGCAATATTCAAACCCTAACGCCACTTCTTCAAATCCCTTGTATGACCACCATCACCACACAACCCGACCGCGAGTTTCCAGTATGCAAAGATGTAAGTTTAGTGCTCTAATTAGTTCCGCTCTTAGCTGTGCCACTTCCATCTTTAACTTATCACCCATATTGCAGCGTCAACGACAACAACGAAAGAATAGACATTCTACCGTGTAGCTGAACCTTTACTCGCTGTATACGTATCTTAACATTGCGACATAGGGTAAATTTGCCTTCTATGGACCCCTTCCTTTAGTGGACCACGGATAACTGCAGTTTTATAGAAAAATTGGAGCAATTTACAGGGGAACTCCATCGAGAAGCACACAGTAAAAAATTAATTTTAATATCACATCAAAATGGACGCAAATTGTGGGGTAAAATTAAATGCCAAAAAGGACAACATTTTCATTAATACAGCGCATGAACTGACACTACGCTGCTTTTACTGCATTTGTTTATTGTTTTGCCATACAAATTACATGAGATTTTGGACATGATTAAAATGCATCGTCTTGGATGTAATATTAAAATTTAAGTTTTGCTGTGCACTTTTTCCGACTCATCTACATGGAAAATTTTGGTCAAAAACTATTTAAATTAGAGTAAATTAAATTTTGATGAGAAGCACATCAGGAGCTGTTAAATAAACAAAGCGTCCAAATTAGGGCACGAAACTTGGTTGTGTGCCTTAATGGAATTTTTGTTTCAAATTTTTTTCATTTCAATGTTTTTAGTGTCCGAGTCGATCGTTCTTTGGCGTTTCGTTTCAGTTTTATTGTTTTGCTGTTGCTCTGCAATAGGTGTTGGTTTGGAAAGAGAGGGCCACTGCTTACTGCGTTTGATTGTTGTTTGTTGGAGTGTTTGGTCTTGTTGATGTTGCTGATTCCACTGTTCACGCTGTTACTGTTGTTGATGCTTCTATTCTGCTGATCAGTTGGGGGATTATTGTCCTCGTTTGCAGTTGCTATTGCCACCTCAGAGCAAAGTTGTTTGGGATGGGATTTGCACCCGCAACTACGGCATGTTTTTACTATAGTAATTTCGTCGTCAGCGGTTATGTACGACGAGATGGAGAGAGTAAGCTTAATTTTGACAACGCGCACTCCATTACTAAAGCCTGGAAAATAGCTCTTCCAGACTTCTATTCGAATGGCTATAACTTCACCATACTTACGCATATGATCAATGATAGCCACATTATCCATGTCATCCGGAAGATCATGTAAGCGCACGTCGACCGCACTGCTCTCGACGTAAATTGGAATCAAGATCTTCTTCCTTTCGTATTCCTTGAAATGCTTCAGGTGGTGAGCTGAAGCGATTCTTTGTACCACTACGTCACTTTTCATACCCAAATACACAACATTCTTGACATTATGTTCCTGGATATATTTTACCAATGACATGTCGAGCTGCAGCTCATTGTCCAAGAATGTTTTTAATATCTGAGATTCACGGCCGCTTCCGAAGAATTGATGTGTCTAATGGCAAAAAAAAAAACACGCACGTCGCACAAAAGATGTTCGAAAGTATTGTCTGGTGATACAACGTCCGATCAGTCTGAGAGATGGATAGCAACTGAATATATGAGACATGTTTTGCCTATTTTGGATTAAGTTTAATGTAATTCAACGCTATGTATTATTTGTACCTTGTAAATAAGCTGGATTCTTATGGTTAAGATAACATTTATTCTAAACGGTCCATCATAGGATGTAAACAATTATTTAATGGTCCATTAATGTTAATGATGACTTTAACTTGCAATGCAGATTTTTCTGCATAAAATCGAGTAATTTTAAACTATAAAACGTATCAGTCATACTAAGCAAAGGATAAACGAGTACCTTATAGAAAAACATTGCTGAAACAACAATTAATAGATCATGAATAGGTAAAGCAGCTACCAGCGGGTCCATCATAGGTCAATTTACCCTACTGTGTGATAATCACCACCAACTGCGATCACGACGACGACGATGCCATACTAACACCCTCCATTCCCCGGGGCTAATCTCATTCCATTTGTGGAGCATTTAGCTAGCAGATCCTGCGGGGATTGACTGCTGCTCTATTCTGGTGAAAACCGGGTCCGGATACAGAAAACTTTAACTTTGTGTGTGTGTGTTTTTTGCAGGAAGTGGAAGGCTAGATTTTGTTTTCGGTGAAATTTCCTTTCGGAAAGGTTGAATATTTGAGTTTTAGTTTTTGGAAGTGAGGATAACATGTTGATTTGATTATGACACGAAAACCGGACGCCCGTGGTTTGTCTATGTGACTTGCCAATGATAAATTGTGTTCCGGAAGATCAAAGGAATTGGACAAACGCAGAAGTTTTAGTGATCTAACGCCGGTTGACGAAGAAATTTATGCCTTTAAATGTATGTTTATGTTCATAAAAGAAAGAAATTTAATTAGTTTATAGTCGGATGGGAAAATCCGATAGTTCAACTTTGCTTGTTATGAGTTGAGACGAGGCAACACAATTTCCCATGCAAAGTAAAGCTTGTTCTTGGTACATACATTAGGTGAATATTAACTTCACCCACCAAACAGTCTGGTTCAAGTGCATATTAAGCAGAGTTGTTAGCTAAACAATCCTCGTTCAAGCCACCGGTATTCAACGGATGATTCCATCTCTCTACTCGTACACCCTCGAAAGAGTGAAGAATAAACACCTCGAAGCTAGCTGTGTACACTGCAGTGAATAAAGCGCATAAAATCCCTCTACCGCTACCACAAATACGCTGTAGAACCGGAAGTATCCTCGAGTGGCTCTTAAAACAGCAACAGCAGCAGCTTGAATAGGTGCAACCAGGGTGCAACAACAGCTCCTTGAAAACACCATATCGGTTGTGCTCGTGACGTTTCTCTGTAATCCTCGATTGCCCTCTAGGAGGACGACGACGACGACGACGACGTGGTGGAAAACAGCTCAGGCGCGAGGGAACGTATCATCTCCAGCAAGTGCGCACCTACCTACATAAACGGAGGTGTTGCTGTTGTGTAAACTTTAGCGTTCTCCACGAAGATGCCAGGAGTGGTGTTCCTCGTTAGTGTGCCAACGGCGAATTATGAACGAGCACTAATTAATGGTAAGAAATATTTTTTCAGCTTAAGTTGCTTTTAAGCACTTGTACGACGATGACGACGACAGTGGCAGTTTTCTCACAGGTACGGCGCACAAAGGAGTACTTGAGGCAAAAAATAGCAAAAACTCTAATTCCTTGGTTTTTGACCCAATGTTGGTTCAATGTTTGCGGGTAATATGTTATTTTGTAAATTTAAATGAAAAAAAAAAAAAACAATTTATAATTATTTATCTTATAATGTTTATGAACGATGTTGTCAGATTCTTTCAGTTTTAGGGCCATTAGGCTTTATGGATTATTAGACCGATAGCCATTAGGTTGAATAAGTCTGTTGTGAGCCGAATTGTGAAACATTATAAATATGAACTTACGGATTTATTTGGAACAATAATAATCTACAGTCTAGGACTTAATTTTATCCTGAATAGAGTTTTCAGTCGCACTCAGTGCTGTGTTCCTAAAATTTGAGCTAAGTAGTCGCACCCAATATTGACCAGCGCCCTTAAAACATTAATCCACCTAAAATAACGATGCGTTCACCCCCGACGTTGATGACGGTGTTTGCAAGTAGTCTATTATCTAGTTTATATGGTACGTTGCAAAACATTTGCATTTTATCGAGCAGCACCGTACTCTACAGGTTGCGAAGGTAGCATTTGTTACACAACAAAAACCCGGAAAATCGCTTTAATGTTCCTTGAATATCTATAAAGTCCCTTTAGTGCAATTCCACGCCAAATCGGTCAGTCACCAAACTTGACTATCTTCGATCTGGATGATACTTGGCACATATTTTCAGTATGATAGACCAAGTATTTTCCGCAGGAGAGGAGACCCTTTTGACTCAAGGGTAATTTTTGAAAAGGGCCTATGTGTTTTTGCACACATACTTAAAAAAAATGTTGTTCGAAAACAGTTGGTTGTAGAAAAAAAATTACTAAGAAGGAGTTGTAGGAAACTAATAAGGCTTTATGAAAAAAATTACACGGAATTTTTTTTTTTCGTTTTTTTACAAAAAAATTAAAAATATACCTCAAAATTCAAATAACAAAACAAAACGTATTTTTGATTTTTTTATATTTTTTAAATAAAAACTTGAATTAAAAGCAGAAGTTTTGAAAACAACTCCAGGATGGACAAACTTTTAATAAAAAAGTTTTTCTAAGGGCAACTTTTAAGGCATTTTTGAAACTTTCATTATTTACGGCAAAATGTTCAGTTTGATGTCAGTATATGATTGTAAAAATCATTTCAAACGATAATGCTCATATCGATAAACTTCCTGAATATAAGCGTTTTCGAGAAATTTCAAATTTACTTTCATCATAATCAATTTTTTGTAGAAAATATGCCCTTTTCGTAAGTTATTCATGATTGTCCATCAAATATGATAAGTTTTGCAAGATATGCATGTACTAACCTTCAACTTACCCTTGCACCAATAGACTATTGGAAAATTGGTTTTAAACTTATAAGATAAATAAGATAAATAAATGAAATACCTATGCGTTTTTATTTGCATCTTACATTTATTACTTTCGATCGTCTTTAATAATAATAATTTGTACATAAACCTTTTCGTTGGATATATTTTTATTTGATGAACTTTTGATTGGCATGTTTTTATATGTTATGAATGGTGCGTTCTTCGTCAATCGAAAATAGTTTCGCTGATAAAGGGTGATACGGTCAAAATTTGGTCAATATCAACTTGACGTATTTCTTTCAATTTTGCATTTAAAAAACCTGAACACCCCTCAGTTTGAAGGTGTGTGTGTGTAGAATGTTGCTCCTATTTTGATTTTGGAATTCACTCTTCAGTTGTCAAAATGCCGTCCAAGCAAGAAGAGCAGCGTATCAAAATTTTGCTCGAGCATCGCGAAAATCCGAGCTACTCGCACGCAAAGTTGGCAAAATCGCTAAAAGTTGCCAAATCAACCGTTACAAATGTAATTAAAGTGTTTGGGAAACGTTTGTCGACAGCCAGGAAGTCTGGATCGGGGGGAAATCGAAAACCGGAAGCCGCTGAGACGACAAAGAGAGTTGCCGGTAGTTTCAAGCGAAACCCTAACCTCTCTCTCCGAGATGCCGCAAATAAGCTGGGTGTATCGTCTACAACCGTGCATCGAGCCAAAAAACGAGCCGGACTATCGACTTACAAGAAGGTAGTGACTCCAAATCGCGATGATAAACAAAATACGACGGCCAAAGCGCGATCCCGGAGGCTGTACACGACGATGCTGACGAAGTTTGACTGCGTGGTAATGGACGACGAAACCTACGTCAAAGCCGACTACAAGCAGCTTCCGGGACAGGAGTTTTATACGGCAAAAGGAAGGGGAAAGGTAGCAGATGTTTTCAAGCACATGAAACTGTCAAAGTTCGCAAAGAAATATCTGGTTTGGCAAGCCATCTGTACCTGTGGCTTGAAAAGCAGCATTTTCATAGCTTCCGGGACTGTGAACCAAGAAATTTACGTGAAAGAGTGTTTGAATAAACGTCTGCTGCCTTTCCTGAAGAAACACGGTTGTTCCGTACTGTTTTGGCCGGATTTGGCATCTTGCCATTACGGTAAAAAGGCCATGGAGTGGTACGCCGCCAACAACGTGCAGGTGGTTCCCAAGGACAAGAACCCTCCCAACACGCCAGAGCTCCGCCCAATTGAGAAATACTGGGCTATTGTCAAGCGGAACCTAAAGAAGGCCAAAAAAAACTGCTAAGGGCGAGCAGCAGTTCAAGGCAAACTGGCTTTCTGCGGCGAAGAAGGTGGACAAGGTGGCTGTACAAAATCTGATGGCAGGGGTCAAGCGTAAGGCCCGGCAATTCGGATTTGGAAAAGCGGAAGCCTAACTGAATATTTTTCCTGAATTTTATACTAATTGAACTTGAAAAAGAAATTTAATTTGATTTTTTAAATAAACGATTTCACCGATTTACACGCGTTTTCCCTTGACCAAATTTTGACCGTATCACCCTTTATTTTATTTTCGGAAATCGGAACAATACAGTGATATTTTCTTGTACCTGGGATCGTTTTGGCCTTTTCAAAAATGCTTTTCCATTCTGCAGCCCCCTGTTCGTATTCCTTTTGTGACACAAAACAAAATGGCATTTTTGTTAAATAATCATTACTCTTCTGGTTAGCCCATGCATATAACTCTGCTGCACTTGTGATTGGATGTTTGTGTTCTACAGCCACACTTGCGTTCCTTGCCATTCGTTTTAATGTGCCACCAATCGCGTCACTTGGTCCCTTGCCATGCGAAGTTGCAAAAAAGTGCCATTCAACATCAATATTGTACTTCGTTTTAAATTTACAAATACTTGCAAAATTTTTGCAATTTTTATATTGGGATGCAGCTCCATCAGACATAAACATCGCTTTTTTTACTTGAATTTTTGTTTGCTAAAAGGTCAGTAATTTTGAAATAAATACTTGCACCGCAATTGTATCGTGTTTTAAAACTTCAGAGATAACGATCAAACATAAATTTTTAATTATACCTGATTCTCCAAAAAGGATGAATAGTAGCTTGTTGATTATTCCAGTAACTACTTTGGGCAGCATCATCATCAAGAACAAATGAATAATTTTCGGAAAAATCAAAAATTATGACAACTTCTCCATTTTTAAGAGTATTTTTTGTATTTCTCAAGAAACTAGACTGCTGAGTTTTAATATAATCATGGGATGCCAGTTTTTCCAACTTTTCGCAAAAATAAGGAACAAATCCATCTACTGGTTTTACAAGTTTCTCTAAACTACATCGATCAGTTGAAACCCATTGTTCAAAACATATTTCAGACATACCTTGTTCCTCGAATTTTTCTGAAAACTTCTTTCAAAATCTGAGAGACCTGGACAACGTTCGCATTCGCGGAGATAACAATGTTTAGTTCTGGATGATGAGCTGCATAATATTTCTTCAAAATAATGGTTGAAATCTTTTTCAAATGAATATTTTCTAAGACAATGAAGCATTAAATTAATATTTTCATGGATGGTACAAACACAAATATTGTGAGAGCCTGAACTACCAAGTATTTTGCAATGCTTTGGTTTTAGTGCTGCAAATGAACTAAATCCAATGCTTTTTTACTAACTTCTTGAAATTTAATAAAAGCTTCTCGCAATGTACAAACTAAAGGTCGCTTTTGAATAAGAATCTTCTTACCTTCCTTCTTTACTGAAACCTAATCGTTTAGTCCTGGCGTGGCTCTGCTTATCTGGTCGCTTTCGAAGAACTGCAATACCTCGTTTTTAATTTCGGGATCCAAACCGTGTCCTAACCTTTAGCTGGGGGTGGCCAATACTCCTTTCCCGTTTGCCAAGCATCGAGCTTGCAATACAATGTATTTATTTGTTTCAAACTTGTCCATTACCGTTTGCGTTGACCAAGATTTCGGCAAAATCGTCAGAATCCTTATTTGATCGTCTCTCGATGAATCTGGATCAGCAAATCTCTCCTTCAGTTGTCCGATCATCTCATTGTGTTCCGCAGCTTTCAATTTTGCTCCAGGTCATCTTCTTCCGCTTGAAAACCAAAGATGCGTTTCTTAATGCCATTGGTAATGTCCATATACTTTCTCCGGGGATAGTTAACATTCTGGAATTTTTTTGTCGATATTGGCGATACGTTGATACCACCATGAGCGATCTTGCATCAGCGCAATCGGTAGCAGAAGAGCAGCAGTAGGCCTTGGGGAGTTTCGAATAGCTCAATATTATGCGTCCTGGAAAATTGTTGCTCTCCACTAGCCTGAGATGATGCTGTTGTTATTGACGTAGTTGATGGTATTTCTTCGAGGCCATGTCGAGATGTAGATAGCTGCGGCTCCGCGATGTCCATGATTGACGGTTGCACTTCTAGTTCCAGATTTTCAACACATGGTTCGATTCTATTTAAATTCAAGCGACACGTATCACAGATTGATAGAGATGTATCCAAATTAAATTTCCACTCTAGGAACTTATGTTTTTCATTTAAATTTTCGGATAATTT